TAGCACAACTGTCACAACAACAATGAAAGGAAGTCAGAGCTAGGGAGCTGAAAGTTGTAGAGGCTCAATAATAATTTAAACACTCCACCCATAGTCTGAACTTCTCTTATGTTGATGCCCCATGAATGAAAAATTTACCTTAATTTTACCCTCTAATTTCCTTCTTTGTAAACAGTCTCATTTAACAGTTCTCATAAAGAGGTTCTTCACCACTCTGGACACAATGGACATAGTTCTAGTCCTCTGAAAGTCCTGGACAAACTAAATGAACTCCCCAGCAACCCACCAGAATGATTTCTCCAAGAACTGAAGACACACAAGACAAACTTGTGTTGTTAACCGTGCACTGAATAAAACAAGATAAACCATCCTTGTCAAGCTTCATTATTTCTCAAAGGCTGAACTCTATTAGCATTTTTATAAATAAAACTTAGTTCTTTCAAGATCCAGAGACTAAGGTAGTTATTAGAATAGTAATTAACAAACAAAACAAAAAAATCATGATCAGATAGAATTTGTTCTGCTAATTTTCACAATCGCATTTCAACAAGCAATGAGTAAAAACACTAGGAAATTCGTGAAGATTTTATCTTTCCTAACTCTTAACACAACAAATCTGTGCGAGTGATTGGAAACTTACAGCTAGAAAATTCCACTAATGCAGCTTGTGTCACTGAATACTTTGAAATACATTTTACATTGTTCTGTAGTTGTTATATTTAGTTCTTTGGTGTTTGCAACCTCTAGTTTGAAAGTTTAACTTTAACTAAAGATGCAACTTGTCTTGCAGGCAACCCACAGTAAGGGTCCTTTTAGCATACTGAGGATTTATGTAATTTAAAAAAAATAATAAGCCATTTTTCCCATCTTTCTGTGGAGGGACATTCTAAAATATTTTTCTTGAATCTACAGGCATGTTTGGAAATATGGTGGCAGAATTCTTTTCTGCATTTTTTTCCTACAGTATATTCTACTGCAATAGCAGAGAGCATTTGGGAAGTTTCTACTACTGGATGCTAGATAGGATAAGATAGATAAAAGAAAAGTATACTGTCTGTACTACATCCTTACAGAATTCTTTTCCTCTAAATGTGCACTTGGATCTAAATTTATAGCTTTCAGGGCATAGAATAAGGCATATCTAGTTGACAACGGATGTGAAATTAAAGGCTCTATTTTTATCAGTATATTAGTGTGGTTTTTAACTTGTAACAGTGGAGGTAGTCTTTTAGCCACTGACACTAGGTACTTCATGATTTTTTTTCTTTGATTCAGTAATGGATAGCACTGAATTCTACAGCAACTTGCAATGAATATTTTTTTTTGTAAAAATATGTTTTTAAAAGCCTAAATAAAAGAAGAGATAAAAGACTAGGGTAAAAATAATTATTTCAACTTTTTGTCATATTAACCAAATACATAACTGAGACAAGTGTTTATACCATGTCATTACTACCAAGGTATTTACAGAACTGGCCAGTTTAGAACACAACAGATAAAAAACCTGAATATTTCCAAGAAGAAATATACACCCCAAAATGCACAATTCTAATAGAATCTTTTGTTCCTAAAGTGCTAATACACACCATTTACCTTTTCAAGACTGAAAATACCTAACAAAAACAGACATAAGTATCTTAATAACCCATAATGTTTCTTGCTTTTTCAGTACACACAAGGTTCATTTGATAAATGTTATTCAATTATACAAGAAAACTGGTAAGCTAGTTGTCTGCCAGGCATATTTCTGCTTTTTTCTCATTTATTTAATTTGCCTTATTAAATTATTTAGAGTAAATGGAGCCTGCAAATTTTCAGTAATAATTGAACTGTTGATCTCTCTTGAAATAAGAAAATAAACAAAACACTCAGAGATAAATATCCAAAACATTGGCCAATTACATGGAAAAAAACACTCCAGTTGCTTTATTTTTTTAACTTTTTGCATATTTATAACTTTTGTTGAAGAATGAATGTTGTTTATATATTTTACATAGTAACAAACATTTGTGCAATGTCTGTAAAATAGGACAGCAGAGAGTCAAACAATAGCTTAAGTTGAAAGACAGCGGAATTTAAGCTCTTAAAAGCCTAAGTGAATATTGAAAATGGTACCCAGACTTCTCAGTTATTTAAATACTTTGGAATTTTTTACTCTAGGGCTTTGGATAGATGAAATAATTATACTACTTTAAAAGGGGAGGAGAAAGATACACAACTTATGAATGCATGCCAGCTGACCCACTGCAAGTGTCTAAAATGTCTAATCGTGCCCTTTAGTAATTGACCCTTAACTGGGGCAGTTTATACTGGAATAAAACCACTTCTAAATTACAATGGTTTATCTTCCACTTACTGCAGGATAAAGAAAAAAACACAAAACAGTCACAAATAATCAGCTTGAAACATAATGTGCCTTCTCCTGCCCATTTTTCAGTCAGTGTAATTGTACTGTCTGTCTCTCTGTATTCAAAGTCTATCCATTATGGTGATGAAGACAGCCATTAAAATCTGAGCCACATGCACTGATGTCTGCTTAGATACGTAGGCAGCCCAAAACAATAACTTTGAAAAAGATACAAACCACTCTTATCCATTTCAGTTCTAAAGCCAGATGACTACAGTATATTTTGCTAAGATGAATGGCTATTTTAGTGCTGTTCACAACACACAATAAAGGAAAGAAATATAATTCTTTGGGAATGACTAGGAAAGCACATTTTTCCTGGTTAAAGAACCTATAAGACACAAATTCAAAGCTGGACATCAAAAGAAGCAGAAACTTTTCCAAATTTGCTAATGGTACTCTTAATCGCTTAGTAAAGAAATTACCAGAAGTTGATAAAATATAAACATTAGATTGGTATTTTCATATCTCCAGTTACAAATCTTAAATTTTTACAACTAATAATCAGCATTAAGACAACAACCCAAAATTACATTAATCAGCCTTGGGATAAAGTGTTGTTAGCAGAGGTTTTTGATATCTACCATGTTATAGTAGCTAAGTTATGCAGTTGGGTCAATAAAAGATATTGCCCTAAGAAATCCTTGCCTCTGCCATAATTCCTGAACCATCACAGCTGCAACATTATACCATTAATTAACCTTAAAACAATTACATATATATCCAAGTCATCCTTAGGGAGAAAAATTTAAATTTGTTTCAGTTTATCAGAGTGGGTTGAATAATGAGAGAAGCTGTTAAGAGAAATAAATGATTGGCTAAGAAATGTCACATCTTCAAGTACTTGACAAGTAGGAAATAGGTACTCATTAACCCCAGAAATAAAGTGAGAAAGGATGAGCAGAATTTACCATTTATGTTAATTAAAGTAGAATAACACGTTGAAAGAGAAGTT